GTAGTGTATATTGTTAGAAAAGATTTCTATTTTAAATAAATGCTCTTCTTTTTAACTTTTTATTCATCAAAGAATCCTGAAAAAAAGTATTGCAGTTTCCAAAAAAATAATAAGCAGCACAACAGTTTCCAGCACTGATAATAAATCAGCATATTAGAATGATTTCTGAAGGATCATGTGACACTGAAGACTGGAGTAATGATGCTGAAAATTCAACTTTGCATCACAGGAATAAATTAGATTTTAATGTATATTAAAATAGAAAAATTTTATTTTACATCGTAATAATATTTCACAATATTAAAATTGTTCCTGTATTTTTTATCAAATAAATGCAGCCTTGATGAGCATAAGAAAGTCCTTTAAAAAACATAAAAAATCATTCTGATCCCAAACTTTTGAACGGTATTGTATGTTTTAACTGTCGTATATATAGACAAAAGATTTTTAATGGCTTGTTATCAGCAGGATAACTGCAGATATACAAAGAACGTGAAGAACCGTCAGTTTGAACAATGTTTTGATGGTTTGTGCATGTGTGTTTGTTTTACAGGAGACTGGCCCTGATGCTGATGCCTGTGCAGTGTGTATTGAGTTGTATAAACCAGGAGATGTACTATCAGTTCTCACATGCAAGTATGTCTGTCTTTCATTCCGTTCCGTTCTGTTCTCCCTCAATCACTGTTTTCACTATAAATCTGAATTTTTTCCAGTCTTTCTGGTCTTAATGTTGCTGTATGGTGTTTTTGTGTTTGCAGTCATTTCTTCCATAAATCTTGCATAGAGCCATGGCTACTGGAGCACAGAACCTGCCCAATGTGCAAGTGTGACATTCTTAAAGCCCTTGGAGTTGAGGTGAGTTTTCACACTAAGAGTGAAGTCCAGCGTTGCACTTCATAAAGCTAGCAAATTAATCTGTAGTATTTAAAAAAAAAAGTGTCTTAATGGATACTGCCTGATAAGATGTCATTTTTCAGGTTTTGGATACTGTCTTAGTGTTAACGCAGTAAAACAATAAGAAGATAAAAGCTGAACAGTTGAAATGCAAACAAACAGTAACTATTTCCTCTTCCCTCTGTTTCAGTTTAAAGTGTTAGCATGGCAATACAAATTCTTGAGAAATTGAAAAATTAAGAACATAACATTACTGAGCATTATGCATTATTAATTATAAAGGATAAGGAGACAAAGTCAAATTCTCTCTGTTCGTCTTGTGGTAGGCAAAGAGGAACAGATGTTCATAAGCTTTTTTTTGGTGAAATCTTGGTACCATGTGAGGCAAGTCATGTGTATAGAGCATTTGAGTTCTGAGTCATGCAGAGTGTGACAGGGAGCAGAAGTTCATTGATGTTTGTGCTGACTAATGTTGGGTGCTGCTGGGAGAGATATGGTGTTCTTTGGTCTTTGGTCACCTACATAAATGAAATCATTTATTGTGGCTATGAGTGAAGGTAGATAGAGCACCATAAGCAGTGACACACCTCAGCTCAAAGTTTGTCACATGTTCAACCAAGGCAGTAAAATGCTTTTTCCTGAAACTACATATGCATTATGAAAAAATGACAAGACAGAATTTACACTGCCGTTCAGTTGTTTGGCCTTTTTATTTATTTTGTTGAAAAATACTTTTATTCAGCAGGGATGCAATAAAGTGATTAAAAGTGATAGTGAAGACATTTTCATGTTACATAAGATTTCTACTTCAAATAAATGTGGTTCTTTTGAACTTTATATTCATCAAGGAATCCTGAAAAAAAGATCACGGTTTCCACAAGATGTTAGGCAGTACAACTGTTTTAGTTCAACATTTAAAGGCTTAGTTCACTCCAGAATAAAAATTTCCTGATAATTTACTTACCCCCACGGCACCCAAAATGTTTATGTCTTTCTTTCTTCAGTCGAAAAGAAATTAAGGTTTTTAAAGAAAACATTTCAGGATTTTTCTCCATATAGTGGACTTCAAGTGCAGCTTCAAAGGGCTCTACACGATCCCACCTGAGGAATAAGGGTCTTATCTAGCAAAAAATATTACTGTATATCATAGGCGGAGCGTGTGTAAGGCTTTCCCCTGCCCTGGCCATGGGGGGACTTGGGGCAAAAATGGCACTAAATTGGACAAAAATGCCCCTGTACAAACAAATTAAATATATTACGTCTGTTGCTAACAAAGTGAAAATGAATAGACAGTGTCGATTGTGGCATTAAATTAAGATCTGATCATATTGCACCATATTTCATTTTAGGTGTTTTTAAAGTGTTGCGCATTTTATCCAATCACACACAATTCTGTTGAGCTTAGGAATGCAATGGCCAATCAGAGGCGTTCAGTTGAGTCATCACTGAAACTCATTAGTTTTGTTGAGTGCGTGCACGTTCGCTGACTGAATTCCGGACTCTTGCGAATTCTCTCATCATAAACAACAAAGCGCAGATGTATGTAAAATGTAAGTAAGAGATTAATTTCACATTGTATACAGCTTCAGTGATTATAACAGTAGTTTTGTTTTTTGAGAGTGCTTAAACTCAGGATAGATCAAAGTTAGTGATAATGTCACTTTCTATTGCCTATATAATTTATTCGCTGTTTGAATAGCCATGGAAAGGAAACATTATATAATTATACATTTCTAATGTTTTTATTCAATTGTAATCACGTTAAATACAAATTCAGTCCCATTAAACATGTTTTATTAGCCTATATGACACCCATGTCTGGTTCTTGCCTAAAAAGACAGGTTTATGATGTTTAATACATTTGGCTGCTTTTAGCCTTACCCTGGAGTTGGTTCACCCTCCGCCTATGCTGTATATACTTTTTTTACTTGCACTAGCTCTGCGACAAACGTCCATGACTTAACGCATTACATAATCATGTTGGAAAGGTGTTTTTTGCCTAGAGGAAGAAATCTGTTTCAAAAGATTTAAACCTCCAGGATCCACACACGAATGGACCATTTTAAACAATAAACTCATACAAAGACATATAAATATGTATCATTCAACAACTTTTGAATGGTCCTCCTTCTCCACACTTGTAAACACTGGGGTGGTACTTCCGCCTACATCACGTGTGACCTTTCCAACTTGATTGTGTAATGCGTGAAGTCGTGGACGCGTATCGCAGAGCTAGTGCAAGATGAGCATTTGTGGTTAAGTATAAAAATGTTTGTTTATTTATTTATTTTTAGAAAATGACCAATCGCTTCATTAGATTAGATCCTTATTCCTTGGCTGGGATCGTGTAGAGCTGTTTGAAGCTGCACTGAAATTGCAATTTGGACCTTCAACCCCGTTGAAGTCCACTATATGGAGAAAAATCTTGGAATTTTATTTTACCCAAAACCTTAATTTCTTTTCAACTAAAGAAAGATCATGTGACACTGAAGTAATGATGCTCAAAATTCAGCTCTGCCATCACAGGAATAAATTACATGTTATGCTATAATAGAAAACAGCTATTTTAAATTGTAGTGGGTTTTACTATTTTTTTTTTTTTAAA